GTCATGTAAAATGGACCATTAAACATGCATCGCACGACACTTTCATATTGTGACCCCCGGTGACCTGACCTCGCTGTGACCTGACCTGGTATCAGTGACCTCAGATAGCAAAGTATGTCTTTGACGAACAATGTACCTACCATCGATGGTTTTCAATAAATTACCAATTTACTCGATTTCACAACACATTTCTTGAAATGCCAGTTAACGGTGAAAATCCGACCTTTGACCTGACCTGTGACGTCATCGGTTTGACCTAGGTCAATGAAATTTGGACACAAGGTAGTTCCTCGGTGGGGCTATCGAACGCCGTTTGAATTTTGAAAATCGGCCGGTAAATTACCGAGATCTTAGGGGGGGGGGCCGAAACGGCCCCTCCCCCTACGGGAGGTAGGGTCCGCCGATAGCCCTACGGGGCGCGGGTTAAGTGCAAACTGGTAATGCATTTTTGATCGTGGTCAATTTGCTTACACCAGTTATTACCACACCCCTCTGGCTAATGTATTTGAATAGGACAGGCATACAATAAGATGAAAAATATCAGCGCTCGTGCGATCTTTTCACTCGGGACGTTCGGTCTCTCGTTAAAGGGACTGTCCCACCTTCAAAAAATTGCTTTGATATACTGTTCTTGTGCTGCAAGACATAGATTATGGGCCCCTTTACACGAAATTGGCAAACATTCGGCCCATAGTTGGCTAATTGTTTAAAAATTCCAATTTAAACCTTTTGGATCGATTACGTCATATGATTGTTTTTTTTATCGGGCAAAGTTTTTTTCCTAGCTGCCAAATCGGTGGCACAAAGTTTTGTTACGCTTCTGCCGCGAATAGTACAAACATTGCGCATGAAATCAAAACTCAGGAAATTGGTATTTTAATGGAAAGGATTGAAATGAAAATTGGAAAAATTGAAGCTTGAACTTTGTCAAGAAGAAGGTCGCAAACTGCAAAGAAACAAGGCGTTATTTATCATTTTTAAAAGATTATAGAATGCTCCCTAATAACCAAAAGCAAGATTTGATATTTGATTATTGATGCTGCCCCTGCCCACAATGTCTTGGGCACATGGAAGTGAGCTCAACTTCAATAATCAGACCTAAGAATCACAATGGATATAGCCATGAGCCAGACTGCAAAGTATGGCAATTTTGTCAGTGCTGACTCCTTCGTCTGGTGCGGATTTAATGTGGTGCGGTGCGGATTTGGTTTAGTGTGGTGCAGATATAGCTAAGTGCGAATTTGGCTTGCTGTGGTGCAGATGTGTAGCATTGTGGGGATTTGAGGTCAGTGCAGATTTTGACTGGCCATTTTGGGGTTTGGTGCATTTTTTGTTTACTCTCAGCCCCCTTTGGTGTGATTTTTCTGGCTCTGTTTGAATTGTTTGTGTCAATTTTGAACTTGGGCCATTGCTCCTTGGCGACTTGCGAGCCATACTCTGCAGTACTGGCCTGGGCCCATGAGGGAAGTAATATAATATAGTCTGTTCAAGATTCAATATAATAAGTCTGCAAAACACATTCCAGCAATTGTAATTGAAGCAGAATGAATTGTAGTGACCTGCATTTGTATTTTTGTTGTGTCTGTGAAAGAATAATAAATATACCTAAATGGAAAAATCGTGGCCTTTCAGCACACTTGGCAGAGTTGTGTGATTCTGATTTAGTGGCTCATGTGGAACGCAACGAGCTGCGGAACAAGCTTGAATAGCATTTTGCCTCAGGGCTATCTGCCAGAAACATTTCATCTGCATAAATTTGCCTACAGGCAAGTCTGACAAATTTGTCGATTAACTGGGGACCTTGTAAGCCTGCATATTAAATTCTAGCCCACCAGCTCAGCCCTATTCTCAGTTTCAGCATTCAGCATGATAACAGTAATTCTGATTGTCACCACTGAGACCCCAATGGAGTCCTCTGAAATTTTGCCTTTTTATTTAATTATTTGTAAGAGTTTCAGCTACATTTAGACCAAACGTTTCACTCTCAAAGATCTGCGACCTACCCCACTCGTCCAGTAGGATGCCTGGCGCGCAGACAGTCCAGCAGTGTGCTGCCAGCCGGCACGCAGGGCAGCAGCAGGCAGCGGCAGCAACGGCAACTAGTGAACAAGTCTTGGACTGCAGCCACGCCCACGACATGATCTAGGCTAGCATCTATTCAATTTGTCCATGTACAAGTCCCACAGCTCCTGCCCGAGGTCGCGCAAGCCAGGGAACTGACCACATCCAGCCCAGGCGTGGTTCACTGACTCAAGACATTTCAACTGACCAGTCAGATTTCATGTTTTGCAACTTTTATCCAAGTTATTTGTAATTGTAATATTCTTAACTGAATTTTAGGCATGACTTCATTTTTCAAGAGCTACACAGAACACACCTTCCCTGTACAGCGCGTCTATTGTCCTAACATCAGTCACATAGTTGCAAGAAGCGACTTGAATGCGGAACCTGCCTGTTTAGAAGCCCTGCTGTCTCTTGGGTGACACTGCACACTGCACAGAGGTAAGGATGGGGTGTGATTTTGCTGCTGTTCGCCAGGTGCAATATGTGTGTCAATGGTCACAAAGTACTCTTAAGGTTTAAAAAATGCACAGAATGGCCTAACAAAGCACGTTACCTAGCTTTTGACAAGCAGCGCAGCGACTGTGGTACAAAGGCCCAGTCCCATGCTCATGTTAGTAGCTGGATCTGCTCCCAGGAAACAAAGGTAAAACACTATTGGCAGCTTTAAGATGAAATCTGCAGGAAAACTAAGCCATCTATAAAATCTAACATAAGCTTAAAAGCGCAACAGAGCATTTCTGATTCTACGTGCAGCACTTCCGCTTTTATCCGCCATCAGCAACTCAGTTCAAAGAATGATACATTACATCACTAAAATTTATTTCAAAACACCTCTGCATGGTGTTTACACAAACAACAGTTCTTTACTAGACATGGTCGACCTCAGGGCACCCACACTTCAGCAAACTGGGTATTATCAATGTTTAACGGCTCAGGTTAGTCGTCTTGGATGTTCAGAAATAAAAAGGTGAACATTCATTGTCTCTTCCTTAGTTGTCACCATCAATAGATTGTGGACTCCTCAGAGCATGTCTTGATTATGGAGTTGAAACAGCAGTGAGCAAATCATTTATCATTTTGATACTATGATTAATTTCAGTGAGTTGCACACTTGAACTTGACACCTGCCGTTGATAAGTTCATGGCTCTTGCATTCTTCAGTCACATTTAGGACGGCCTCTTAACTATTTAAATACAAAAATAAAAATACTACAAGAATTAGAAGACTATTAGAATTAGTTAGGCATATCAATTTAATTCTCCACCTTGTGGCGCCGGAACGAATGGGCGCGCTGTTCCAAGAGGCGTTGTTATTTTTCAAGGTTTCAATAAAAAACAAGTCGACAGATACAGAAACTTCGGAAAAGGCGGAAACGTCACAGGTTTTAAGTGCCAATACCAATACATTGTGGCACTTATTTGCACAGATGTCAAAATCAAACACAAATTTATTTGCGATGAAGTAATTGCTGGAGAAACGGTTTTTACGGCTCTGATTTTCAAAGAACGCCCATCAAGATGGCTATCTCAACTCAATTCTAATGTTAAGGTGGGACAGTCCCTTTAACCCTCGCCGGACCTATTGGTTTTCTACATACGCGCCGGCCGAGGGGGGGGGGGGCGGGTACGACCCCCCTCGCCGTTTCGCCCCTGGTGGAGCTAGCGCGTCGCGGAAAAAACGAGCGTGTGCGCCGTTACGAGACGCAGAGATTGGTACCCGATTTTAAGGTCCTAGGTCAACCGGTGACCTCTGAGGTCAGGTCAAGTGCCCCAAGGTACGGTTCAGTTTTTGGTGAATAACTTCGCAAAAAATGGCCGCAGAGCCGCGATTTTGGCAGCATCGTGTTCGCCTCGCTCAGGCGCGTCGAATGATATACTTTTTGTTCGGGTCAGGTCAACTTGGGGTGTTGACCTCAGGTCAAGGTCAGGTCAGCACCCTAAGGTCACGAAGTTGGTCGAAAGGGGTCATGTCGCATATCATTCGATTCGGCAGGTCTTCCTGAGTCCATTGGTGGCTTTCCCGACTCGCTAGCTCAATTTGATCAAGAGTTATTGACGAAAAACTAGTATGACCTTGATGACGTCATAAATGACGTCACGCAAGGTCAACATTGCAAAAGTGACGCATCTAACCTTGCAAGGAGTGCATCAAATCACGATTCTGTGTGCTTGAGATAGTTGGAGATCGTTCCCGGCGCCAGAATAACAGTTTTCATTTTTCCCCATTGACTTATAATGGTGAGGTCACGAAAATGACCTGACCTCATATGACCTTTAGGAAAAATCCGAGATATACAAGTTGTGAGACTCATAATGGATGCTAGGTCCTGCAAGTTTCATTTCCCTGTGACATCTCCTCTGGCAGTGAGGGCGTTGCGAAGTTGCGACATCTGAAGACCGTGCAGAGGTTCACTTATGACGTCATAGGTCAGTGACCTGACCTGACCCAAAAATGCGGTTGGTGTCAAAAGATGCGGCTTGGATCAAAGGTCAGGTATGCCAAGTTTCAGCTCTCTATCGCCAGCGTGTTCGGAGCTATCGCGAAAAAAACCTATGGGGGGGCGGCACCCGCCCCCCCCCCCCTCGGCCGGCGAGGGTTAAACGATTACCACACTCGTGCTGATAATTCTTTTTATCGTCCCGGCAGACCCATGCATAATATATGTATCTTCCACTCGGAGCCATGAAGAATCATCTATATCTTCCACTCAGAGCCATGCAGAATCCTATACATCTTACGTGAGCTTGTTCAACAAAGGAATTGTTTTTTTTTTTTAATGAGTCGAAATGAGCACGCGAGCCCTTGCTGTTGAATATACATCGAGTACTTATTTCATAGTTTTGTGTCAACGTCACAATGAAATATTGTGTCCAATACTGTCCTATCTCCTGATTAGTTAGGTATGCATTTCATGACACATAGCTAAGCGCAAGGGTGGGTGCATTGAGAGATGTGTATTTTTGTCGACATACAATTTCAGTCATTATCTTATCCCGATGATAAACACAGACACTTTGACACATTGGCAGCTAAGATGGCTAATAAGTGTCGACTTTCTGTGAAACTACACAGGTGACGTTTTTCACGTGGCTGCCACTTGACACGCGTAGTACTCGGACTTTCCGGAACAATCAAGGCCTGCCCATAGGCCCGAAATGCCATCGTAATAGTTCATCAGCGCACAGTCGCCGCCCACGTAGTCGGCGTCGTCCATGTACCAGAGACTGAAGTCGTACGGGCTCCCGTCGACCCAAGTCCACGGGGCTGAGCTGTTGGCTCTGGACAGACCGATCCAGCTAGTTCTATGAGCCAGCACCTCTTGAGCTAACAATGCATTCTCCTCGGCGTCATGAATGGTGATCATTGTTGCGCCATTGTGTAGTCTGGTACATTCATGCACGGCGTCCTTATATAGGCTCTCGGCGCTGGAGACCCAGTAGCATTTGTCCCCGTGTGCTTTGAAACGAAAGGGGCAGCCGCCGGCGACGACGGTGATGGCGGCGGCCACCAGCGTCAGGCGCATCGTCCACGTCATCATGATGACGGTGACGTCACTTATGACGGTAATGACGTGCTTCTCGGCTTGGCAGCTGTGGGGTGAAATAAAGCAAGGTAAAAGTCAGTGCCGTTCTTGGCAGTGTATTGTTGAGGTTTGAGATAAGACAAGATATCCATATTTAAAATGATGGCGTTGTTGCATATGATATTTTTAACCCGCGCACCGACGGGGGTCTGCGCCAACTTCGCACCGCCGGGGGGGGGGGGGCGGATGACCGCCCCCCCCCCCCTGAGATCTCGAGAACGAAGCAAGATAGCGACAAGCGGTAAACGGCATCGGATACGCACGGCCAAGATCTACAATTTTTACAAAGGTCATTTTCAGGTCAGGTCAAAGATGACGTCACAGGGGTCGAAAAAGTCAAAATGGCGGCGCTAGATATGGAGAGAGTTTTTCTCGAATAACTTTCGAATTGGTCAAGATAGGAACAAACTAAGGGCATCATCGTGATCCTCTCGTCAATCCACATCGAATGATATATATGTTGACCTCGAAAGGTCAAGGTCAAAGGTTGACCTCAGGTCACGTGACCTCGAGGTCATCATGTATATCATTCGATGCGTCTTGACGAGCTGAACACAATGAGACCATCCACGCGTCTGTATCTTGTTCCTGTACGGAGTTATTGGCCAAAAACCTTTGGTGACCTTTGATGACGTCACATGACCTCACAGCTGCCCAACAGCAAAACAGACCTCAAGGTAGTGAAGGTTGATCGTATATGAAGTCATGTATGGTATATGGGGCCATTCCGACCCGTTTTAGTGGTAAAAACAGGGAGTTGATTTTTCCCCCATTGACTTATAATGGGGAGGTCGCGAAATTGACCTGACCTTAGGTCACCGATATCAAAATTCCGAGATAGACAAATTGTAGCTACTAATGACCTAACAATATCCTGCGACTTTCAAAGGCCTCCGACATCTACTGTAGCTCTGGCACGGTGACAAAGTTGCAAAAAAGTGACTTGAGGTTGGGTCATTCAAAGTGACCTGGTGACCTGACCTTAAAAGGTAGGAGGTTCAAACTTGCACACCATGTGTAAAATTGATGAGGTTATAGTCATACAAAATTTCGCGGCGCTACGCGCCGCGGTTTTCCCGCTATTCGCGAAAAACCTCAGGGGGGGGGGCGGATATCCGCCCCCCCGTCGGTGCGAGGGTTAATTTATTCCTAGTTGCTGTCGAAAAAATGAAGGAAGATGTCAAAAATGGGATGTCATTCTGTCCCAGTTCATCACTATGTAGTGTCGTTGGCAGTTATCAAATTCCGTAAAATTCAATATAGCGAGTGGTCATGCTGTGCTTCAATTCATAATGCTACCATTTCATGACTTCTTACAGATGCATCACAAGCCTTGCGTTTGGTACACTCGGGCCGCTATACTGAAAGGTTAACCCTCGCCCATGTAGGGGGGGTTGGTGCAACCCCCCCCCTGAGGTTTTTCGGAAATAGTGCAAAAACGGCGGCGCGCAGCGCCGCCAAACTTTGGGTACCTTATGGGGCAAACATTGCGCATCTTTTGATAAAAAAAAATTTGACCGGGTCATGTCAGGTCACGGAGTTATGACGTCACAAAGGGAACAGCCTCCGGCCGGATTTTCACAAACTGAGTACCAACGCCCGAGGTTTCCTGCCGGTGGTACGGAGATCGGTTGATGGATCGTGATGAAACTTCCCATGCATGTTGGGGCAAGTATTGGCTATCATATGGTATAAGAAACTTGACCGGGTCAGGTCAGGTCACGGAGCTATGACGTCACAAGAGGAACAGCGTCCGGTACTATTTTTGAAAAGCGCCCGAACCACTATTTTGCTAATTCTTGTCACCTCAATGGGAATATGCAGCAATATTAGCTTCTATAGGGAGCAAATGGACCTCCCAAATCCAAAAATACAATCAGATTTCAAAAATTTAAATTTTGATTTTTCGAATTTCTGCCGCCGACTGTGACCTTGCCGACTTCCGGCGCTTCCAACGCGCCATTTTTAGAGCTAGGGAAACGAAATACATACCAAACGATAGAGAATTGATCAAGAAACACGATAGTGAAGGTTTCAAGTCGATATCTCCCACCGTTTTGCCGCAATCGCCGCCGAAAGTTGAAAAAAGTCTATTTTTCCGAAAATTTGACCTTTGACCGGTCAAAAGTAGGTCAAATGTTGACCTAGGACCAAAAAATATACCACCAATCGCGAGATCTCGGCGAGAGCAATCCGTTGGTCGTTTCCGCTAAGCTCTACGACGCTTCGTTTTCAAACGCCAAGGGGGGGTCGCACCAACCCCCCCCCTGCATGGGCGAAGGTGGCAGATCGCCGTTTACGGGCGAGGGTTAATTCGCCTGTATACTTACCAAGAAAACAAAAGCGGATATGTTACATTAAATGCGCTGGCGTTAGACACTAGAAGTTCTGAGCCTTGCGTGAGTCGGCACGTGTAGACAGTGCAAATAACTTTTCATAGAGTGCGGAGGGAAAAATACATATCCAACATCGATGGTCGCAAATGTTAACCCGCGCCCTGCTGGGGGGGGGGTGTTTGAACACCCCCCCTTGTGGTTTTTCGCGAATATCTCAAAAACAGCGGCGCGGAGCGCCGCCGTTTTTGGTACACCTTATCATACATCAATTCTACACATGTTGTAAAAATTTTAGACCAAGGTCATTCAAGGTCAGGTCACCAGGTCACTTGAAGTGACCTCACCTCATAAAAACTTTCAATGTCTGTCATAGCTACACCGAGTGACCGATCGCTTTGAAACTTTCAGCGATTGCTAAGAGCAATAGCATGTACAAAATGTATATCTCAGAATTTTGATATCGATGACCTAAGGTCAGGTCAATTTTGCGACCTCCCCATTATAAGTCAATGGGAGAAAATTGAAATGCGCCTCTTTTGGATGAAAGACATTATAAACACTCCCAAACACCGAATTACAAGTGGTTTAGACACACTGAACTTGAAAATGGTGTCCGTGACCCTTGTTTATGCCCTGAGGTCATCTTAGGTCACGAATGGTATCTATCAGTTTTTCGCAAATAACTTTTGATAGAGGCATGCTAGAGCGATGAAAACGCCTTAGATGTGTTCAGCTCGACGATACGGATCGACTGATATGCAACATGACCCTTTCCGGTCAGGTCATGACCTTGACCTGAGGTCAAATTTTCAAGTTGACCTTTCAAGGTCAAGTTATAGTTCATTCGATGCGTCTTGACGAGAGGAACACGATGCCGGTAAAAGTAAGCTCGTACAAGGCTTGGGTCAAAAGTTATTGCAGAAAAACTGTTTTCGAAAAAATCGGCTATTTTTGCAGTTTTTGCCCCCTGCAGGCAAAACCGTTGACGTTAGGTCAAATCTGAGAGAATTACTCAGAAAGGGCGTTAATAGGGCTATCGAATGCGCTTTTCCGCGGCGCTGTAGCTCTATTGGTTCCCGAGTTATGCGTTGGCTTCTTGGAAATTTTCGACATTCGACCTGGAAATCGGCGAAATTTTGCCTTCAATGACCTCTGGTGACCTGACCTTTGACCTGACCAAAAAATTGACCGAAGTGATTTCGTCATTATTTTTGACGCTCTTTCGAACGCCGCCTTCCGCGTATCGCTACGTGGCCCAGGAGCCGAGTTACAAGGGGGGGTGTTCAAACACCCCCCCCCAGCAGGGCGTGGAAATCCAGGACCCCCAGCAGGGCGCGGGTTAAGCCCCCAGATTGTATGTGTGATGGATTATTGAAAACACATGAGTTACCAAACAAGCCCGGCATGTGAGAACAGCAGGTATAAGAAAACAACTGACTACATCTGTAAGTACTGATCTAACTACAACATGATGTTTCACCTGTCACAAGCTATTAGTTGACTGTAACACGCTAGGTTTTTCCGCAAATCACACAATTGGTTTTAGGGAGCTAAGGGTCACAGGGATAGGCTGTCACTCAACATGCGTGATGCGGCGCAGCCGCAGTTCCTTTATGGAAAATGGAACGTCACTTTTTACTCAATCTCAGCTTGGTGAAAAATATGCCATGTCATCCCATACAAGTTCGAGATTCTCACCTGCTATTATTATCCGTAAATCGGTGTAGTTGCGTGTTGTTGCGTGTCGAACTGAACTACTTTCCACGACTGAGGCGCACGGCGCTTATAACGGCGTTTTAATGGTCTCTGCTATCTGCTCATGGCGTCGAGCGTTTTGTTATCGCCATTGGAGCCGATGGAGATGGGAACAAGACAGCCGTTAAAGTATACAAGAGGCGGAATGTGAACTGACAGGCGATGTTCTAGTTATTATCACTGAGCTGCCATCTTATTCTTGACGTGTAAACTAGCAAGCAGGCTTCCATTCTTAACGCCACATCATGGCCTCTAGATGAACTCAGGGTAAAGAAAAACGAGAGTAGGTTATAAAACCTGGAGACCCTAGCACTCCATGCATCCATAAATGAAACCGACGCAAAACCCTACTTTCTATAGAAAAATAATTGTTTTTTTAGAGTTACACTGATGCAGGGGCGGATCCAGAAAATCTCCAAGGGAGGGGCCATTAGAAACCAGGAGGCCCCCCCCATAATCCCACCTGTTGGAGGCCCCATCTTCCCACTTGTTGGGCCCCCCCCCCCAAAAAAAAAACTGCGTCTATTGAGCTTATCTAGCTGTTCAGGCAACATCTCAACATCTGTGCAGGCTTGGAGGCCCTCTGTGCAGGTTAGGAGGCCCTGTAAAAGTGGTCATCTCTGTGAGCATAAGAGACCTCCAAGTTATGAAAAGCTTTACCAATCTTCTAACAAAGAAGTCTTCTCAGCTAGTCTTCTAAGAAATAACTAAGTGGGTAGGTTTAAAAAAAAAACTCATCGGATTTCGGCCACTTTATTTTCAGGAGGCCCCCTTTTCAGCTTTTTAACTTTTTAACTTTTTATTTTATTTTTGAAAAAAATCGGCCAAGGGGGGGGCCATGGCCCCCATGGCCCCCCCCCCTTGTATCCGCGCCTGCACTGATGATGTACTAATTTTCGTGCCATAATGACTAGAC